GCTTGCAATGCTGCATGCTGCATGTTGCATGCCTTACAATGTCGACGAAAAGATCTTCACTAGCAGACGCGAGGTACCTCCCATCATGGCTGAAGCTCACTGTGCGCACTGGCCACCTGAACAAGGGCGTTGGGAGGGGGAGGGGGAGGGAACACAGGAGAGGTGGAGGAGAAATTGGGGAGTGAATTAACCAATGCAGGCAAAAGGGCAAGGGAGTGGGAAGTGGTACCTCCCATCATGACTGAAATGCACTGTGCGTACTGGCCACCTGAGAAAATGGTGGGGGGAAGGGGGAGGGAAGGTATGTAGTGCAACATATCACATGTCATGTCATGTCATGAGATGTCTTTACTCACTCTAGGCATGTGTTGTGTGAATATCCCATAGGCTGGCCACAGGACAGTGAATGGCACATGGCATGGCACACATAACACATGGCACATGGCATGGCACACATAACACATGGCACATGGCATGGCACACATAACACATGGCACATGGCATGGCACACATAACACATGGCACATGGCATGGCACACCTAACACATGGTACATGGTATGGCACACATAACACATGGTACATGGCATGGCACACATAACACATGGCCCATGGCATGGCACACATAACACATGGCACATGGCATGGCACACATAACACATGGCACATGGCATGGCACACCTAACACATGGTACATGGCATGGCACACATAACACATGGTACATGGCATGGCACACATAACACATGGCACATGGCATGGCACACATAACACATGGCACATGGCATGGCACACATAACACATGGCACATGGCATGGCACACATAACACATGGCACATGGCACAGAGCACGTGGCACTCACTCTCGAGTTTTGTGAACGTGTGCACACACAGCACGTGGCGCATGTCCCACAGACTGACCAGTGCATCGTGAGTGATTGTTCCAAAAGCTCTTGCCAGATATCCCCAGGTACTCACTCGAGTCTGGTAAAAGTGCGCACACACAGCATGTGGCGCATGTCCCACAGACTGACCAGCGCATCGGCACTCCCTGCTGCAAAGTATCTGAGGGAGGGGGGATTGGGGGCGCGGAGGACAATGGAGGGAGCGGGAAGGGGAGGGGAAACGAGGAAGGCGAAGGGGTCGGACGGACGGAAGGACTGAAGGAGTGAAGGAGTGAAGGAGTGAAGGAGTGAAGGAGTGAAGGAGTGAAGGACTGAAGGGAAAAACGATTTTTTAGGCGCCTAAAAAACGAACACCCACACCCACACCCGGATCCACACCCACACCACACACACTCACCTCCCAAGGGGGTCAATGGCAAGGGAGTAGACTCCTGCAGTGTGCGCGTGGAGGGTGTCTAGTGTCTGCAGGGAGGGGTAACCCAAAACCTCCACTGCGCCTGCAAGTCAAAATGAGAAGGGAAGACGCAGGAGGGGGCGGGGAGGGGGAAGAGGGTGGGGGAGGAGGCAGGGGAGGAGGAAGGGGAGGAGGAAGGGGAGGAGGAAGGGGAGGAGGAAGGGAAGGGGAGGAGGAAGGGAAGGGGAGGAGGAAGGGGAGGAGGAAGGGGAGGAGGAAGGGAAGGGGAGGAGGAAGGGGAGGAGAAAGGGGAGGAGGAAGGGGAGGAGGAAGGGGAGGAGGAAGGGGAGGAGGAAGGGGAGGAGGAAGGGGAGGAGGAAGGGGAGGAGGAAGGGGAGGAGGAAGGGGAGGAGGAAGGGGAGGAGGAAGGGAAGGGGAGGAGGAAGGGAAGGGGAGGAGGAAGGGGAGGAGGCAGGGGAGGAGGAAGGGGAGGAGGAAGGGGAGGAGGAAGGGGAGGAGGAAGGGAAGGGGAGGAGGAAGGGAAGGGGAGGAGGAAGGGGAGGAGGAAGGGGAGGAGGAAGGGAAGGGGAGGAGGAAGGGGAGGAGAAAGGGGAGGAGGAAGGGGAGGAGGAAGGGGAGGAGGAAGGGGAGGAGGAAGGGGAGGAGGAAGGGGAGGAGGAAGGGGAGGAGGAAGGGGAGGAGGAAGGGGAGGAGGAAGGGGAGGAGGGAGGGGAGGAGGGGGACAACAGGGTGAAGGACGCACGACGATCAGGATACTCTAAGAATTCTAAAAAATCTCTCATCTGTATACTATCATATTTTCTAGAATGATCAAAATCTCTCATCCGGATACTATCAGATGAAAACACACACGCAAACAGCACCTTGTTCTCTATGCGCCACAGCAGTCAACACAGGAGGATGGTAGGGGGAATAGAGCAGAGCAGACCAACCTGTACCGGCTTTACGGCCCTAGACCCACCCAGCTGTGCCGGCTTTACGGCCCTAGACCCACCCACCTGTGCCGGTTGTAACCAGGAAGATGGAGCCTGAGCGGTCCCACGCAAACTCGTTCAACTGCAGGCAGAGAGCGATAAGAGGAGACAGTTTGCAGATAGTGACAGTACGGGGGCATGGGAGGAGGCAGACATGTGAGAAGTGGAGGATGAAGGGAGGAGGGCCCAAACGAGAGGGAGAATAGATGGAGATGCGAGTGAGAGGTGTGAGTGAGAGGTGTGAGTGAGAGGTGTGAGTGAGTGGTGTGAGTGAGTGGTGTGAGTGAGAGGTGTGAGACTCACCTCACATTGAGGTGGCTAGTGAGTGTGACTTAAAGATCAACTGGACAACACGTGCTTGGTAGCTGCCCAACCTATAGCTGGTTGACCCTCCACAGGCTCGCACCTCATAGTTGAACTTGCGCTTGTGAATCGGCTTCAGCTTGCGCACATCCAGAATGGTTAGCTCGTCTGCCTGCAGGCATGCACCCGTGGAATCCCATGGGGCAAAGGTGACCTCTCCATGGGGTTCCGGATCATGGTACTAGCTCCAATAAACGATATGGTGCTAAAACGATGGCGTATAGCGCTTCCATGGTGCAATTGGTACGACACATTCAAGGTACAGCCTACAGCCCACTCACACTGTTGCCCACTGCAATGTGCGTGCCATCAGGCTTGTACGTGACGTTGATGTTCTCCCCCTTTAGAGTCACACTCTGCTCGCACCTGGCCGCTGATGTGGAAGGGGAGCAGCACACATGCGTGCATGCATGCAGGCAGGCAGGCAGGCAGGCACGCGCATCAGTGCATGAATGCGAACGCGGATGTGCATGAATGAGTCTGTAAATGCGCATAAACGAGATTGTGAATGTGCACGAGAACATCAACAAGCATCTGGCTCCCTTGACTCACATCTGGTGTCCCAAATGCGCACAGACTTGTCTTGAGACGCCGAGGCGAGCAGATCCGGGTGAAGTGGGTCCCAGCACAGGTTGTCCACGCTCTCCGTGTGCCCCCTCAGCTCCACCTCGCGCTGCTTGCTCTGCACGCATAGAGGCAAAGAACAGACGAGCACAATCGGAGCAGCCTGGGTGGAAGAAGGTCTTTCTCCTCTCCTTCCACCCAGCACAGGTTGTCCACGCTCTCCGTGTGCCCCCTCGCCTCCACCTCGCGGTGCTTGCTCTGCATATGACGTGGATGGAGGCAAAGAACAGATGAGCACAACCAATGCGGCCCGTGTGAGACGGGGTCCCAGCACAGGTTGTCCACGCTCTCGCTGTGCGCCCTCCGCTCAGCTCCACCTTGCGGTTCCTGCGAGATGACTTTTGAGTCGACTCAAAAGTCTTTGCGCCCTCCGCTCAGCTCTCCACCTTGCGGTTCCTGCGCTGAACGCACAGAGGCAAAGAGCAGAAAGGCTCAACTGCCAGAGCAGCAGGCTGAATGGATCCCTGATCAGCACTGCTCGGATTGTCCACAATCTCTCACGGTGAAATGACTGCAGAGCATGGGTGTAGAAGAGAGTGAAGAGCTCCCTTATTAGAAAGCAATTACATTTTAAAACACACTGTTACACGCTGATGAATGACTCACGGAGTTTGATTGGCCGCTGGGATCCACTTGCCACACGCGGATGGTCTGGTCTACCGAACCTGACCCAAGCTTCTCGCCGAGGCAATTCCACACCACCGAATGCACCTGGTTCGGAAATTGGAATAAATACACGCAGAAACAGAATGCTTCCACCTCATAATCTGGAGTCAACACACAAAACACAAAACACAAAACACAAAACACAAGCATGTTCTGAAGGCTGTAAGAGAAAAGAAATAGACCAGCCCCGTCGTCCCCATTCGCCTCTTGGACCTCCTATCTTTCTCCTCTTGCGTCTCCCTACCTTTCGCCTGTCTCGCCTCTCGCCTCCCCATGTTCCCTCTCGCCTGGAACGGTCTCACTTCTCCATATCCCAAATTCTCTTTTCCTCCCACTTGCCGCCTACCTTCTTCTTGTGACCAACGAACTCTCGACTGTAGAGATTCCTAAACGGGTCCTTTCCCGCTCGTAGTTGCGACGGCAATGGCGCCGGCGCCGGCGGCTGCTGCGACTGGCCCTGCGACAGTCCTTGCGACTGGCCCTGCGACTGCTGCTGCTGCAGCTGCTGCTGCTGCGACGACGAAATCTGCTGCGCCTGTTGCAGCTGCGCTTGCGCCTGTTGCTGCTGCGCCTGCTGCTGCTGCGGGTGCGGAAGCGGCGGCTGCGCGGGGGGTCCGCCGGGGTATTGCGCGAACCCCGCGCCGCCGGGATGCGGGGGAGTGGGGTAGCGGTGGGGTATCGGCCCGTGGGAGAAGGGCGACGGGTGGTGCTGCTGGAAGTGCATCGGTGCTCCCATTCCGTACATGGCGCCGCGCCGACTAACTATCGAGCTTTTGAGGCGCCTTAGAACCAGCCAACTGACTAAGTAGAAGCGGGCACGGACAGATGAGCAGCAGCAGCAGCAGCGGGAAGTCGATCAGCCTGACAGCGAGGCAGAGCGATGCAGTTCAGTTTCGAGGCACCTCGGAAATTTATTACCCGTGGCCGCGAGGCAAGGCGATACGGCTGCGGGAGACAGGACTGGAGATGGCAAGCACCAAGTGATCGACAGGCTGGTTCAGAACAAGCTGATGACCCGAGGGTGGCGTCATTCCCGCGCCGAAACCTGCTGTTCCTTGAGTCCGCGATAAAACTGCGTTCGAGAACGGTAGAAGAAACTAAAACCTACACCTGTGTGTGCTGCATAATACACTGTATGGTACACACAATACTTGCCAATGTGCTTTGAGACATTCTTCCCTATCATGCCCTTTCACTATCATTTTTCTATCATCGAATATACTTCAAGAACTGTCAGCTCAAGCCGCAGCCGCTTGTGCTGTGCGTGCCGCCTTCCCAGCTGCTGCTTGCACGCTGGTGATGGCGATGGTGTTTACAATGTCCTTGGTGGTGCATCCCCGGCTCAAGTCATTCACCGGCCGACTCAAGCCCTGCAGCACTGGACCCATGGCGATGGCGCCCGTGGCCTGCACGGGAAGCGAGGGGGGAGAGGGGAGGGGAGAAGAATAGAAAGATTGAGGGAGGGGAGAAGAATAGAAAGATTGAGGGAGGGGAGTAGTTCAGAGAAGATTCAAGCCCTGGCCCCATGGCGATGGTGCCCGCGGCCCAAAATGGAGAGAGAGGGGGAAGAGGGGAGGGGAGTAGAAAACAAAAATAGGGGGGGGAGAGTAGAGTAGTTAAAGCCCAGATCCCAAATTAGTTCACACAAGTCAACAGGCAGAATTTGGGCTGGGCAGGTGGAAGAAACAATTTAGTTGTTGGGTGCGAAACCATGTCATTATGTTTCTTCGCGCAGGATTTCGTATGCAAACTGGGCCCAGTTTGATTTGGGGGAGATCAATTTGGGCCAAACGCGGATCTGACGGCTGAGACGCAGGGACACATGAAGTTCCAATTTGTAAGCACAGTTATATTCGTCGACTGGAGAACTAGCGAGAGCACAGTTTCGTGGGAGTTGGGTTTGGCAAGCCCGAACCAACGACGGAAACTGCATTTGTAAGCAAACTGGGCCCAGTTTGCTTACAAATACCCACCGTAGATATCCCAACCTCGATTTTGCCCCTCACTGTGGCGAAGGAATATTTGGTTCTTTTTTTCATTGGGTGCTTCGCGAGCGCCGTCAGCATCAAACTGGGCCCAGTTTGATGCCTGTTAGACTAATTTGGGACCTGGGCTTTAAGAGAGGAGTCAATACTTGCAGCACTAGACCCATGGTGATGGCTCCTTTGGCCTGCAGGTGGTGGAGAGGCATGCGACGGGTATCGAACTCGGTTCAGAGGTATGACGTGGGGGCAGGAAGTGGAAAAGAAAAACTTCCCTACACAACAGGAAGGAGAGAGTGAGGGGAAAAGGGAAGAGAGGAGGCAAGAGAGAGTGCAAGGAGGCAAGGAGGAAGCCACGCCACACTCACCTGTTGCACAGCCTTGTAGGTGTTGTTGCCCGTGTTGAGATCGGGGAATATGAGCACAGAGGCCTGCAGGGGGAGGAGCAGGCCAGAACCAAAGATTTAAAAAAATGTCAATGAATGAAATGGAAGGGCATTGACAAGCCCTGATGGTCGTTCCAAATGGTTCGCAGGCTGCTCGCAATCTCAGCCGCACATACGATGAAGCCAAAGGAATTAAGTCTACTGTGCCCAACAGTACAATAGGATAGGACACCAATCGGTCAGCAGGACGAACCTTGCCGGCCACGTCGGACTCTCTGCCGTCCATCTTGTTGTGGGCGGCCATGGGGTTTACAGCAGCATCGTACTGCAGGGGTCCCTCCACCAGAATGTCTGGCCGCTGCTGCTTGATCAGCTGTGTGGCGCGCACCACCTTCTGCACTATGGTGTCTGGGGGGACGGGAGGGAGGGGAAAGAGGGGGAAAGGGAGAGAAAGGGAGTGGGAGAGGGCCAAGTGCAGCCATGGGGTTGACAGCCGCATCGTACTGCAGGGGTCCCGTTACCAACAAGTGGGGGCGCAACACAGCTGAAGGTAGTGTTGCCCGCACCACCTTCAGCACTATGGTGCCTGGCAACGCGCGGCTCCACGCCAAAGGCAGGAATAGAGACTCCTGCTCTCAGAACCACCTTCCATTCCCTCTCACCTTCCCTTCCCTCTCACCTTCCCTTCCTTCTCACCTTCCCTTCCCTCTCACCTTCCTTTCCCTCTCACCTTCCTTTCTCTCGTCCATGGTGGAATACGAGAGCATGGCAACGCGCGGCTCCACACCAAAGTCAGCAGCGGTGTCGGCAGACGAGATGGCGATCATCGCAAGCTCCTCAGCCGTCGGATTGGAGTTGATGGCGCAGTCACCGTAGATGTAGATGCGGTCGGGCAGGCACATAAAAAAGACGCTGGAGATAATTTCGGTGTTGGGCAGTTTCTGGAGGGAAAATATGTGGACGGATAGGATGGGGCAAGAGACCAGACAAGTGAGTGTGCATGAGGAGAGGAGAGTGGAATGAAATCGCATGGGGCGGGTATAGGCGGAAATTGTGGTGGCAGTGTTATTCACAACGCTGATCAACACAGTCCATGGCTAGTTTGATTTTTTGACGTCTCAAAGGAGTACTCACGGGAATCATCTGCAGCGCGGGTCGAATGGTGGCGATGGTGGTGTGCACGGCACCGGACACCATGCCATCCACATCGCCAGCCGCCACCATGGCTGTGCCCAGGTAGTTGGGATCTGTGATCATGTGATCGTGCGCCTCCATCAGAGTCACGCCCTGCAGACAGGCAAGCAGAAGAGAAAGGGGAGGGAACTGGTGAGGAGGTTGCAGTTCAGGTCACTGATCATGTGCCCGTGTGCCTTCATCCGGGTCACGCCCTGGTGGGGTGTGAGGGGTAAGGTGGGAAAGACGAGAGCAGTGGTATTTGGGGTTTGTGCTCATGTGCTCATGAGCTTCCATCAGTGTTACGCGCTGCATTGACTGCCACTGACTGCCACTGACTGACTGCCACTGACTGCCACTGACTGCCACTGACTGCCACTGACTGCCACTGACTGCCACTGACTGACTGCCACTGACTGCCACTGACTGCCACTGTCTGCCACTGACTGCCACTGACTGCCATTGACTGACTGCCACTGACTGCCACTGACTGCCACCGACTGCCACTGACTGCCACTGACTGCCACTGACTGACTGCCACTGACTGCCACTGACTGCCACCGACTGCCACTGACTGCCACTGACTGCCACTGACTGCCACTGACTGCCACCATGGCCGTGCCCAAGTGATCATGTGCTCGTGTGCCCCCATCAATATTACGCCCGGCCTGCATGCACGAAACAATGGGGATGGGCGCACCTGGAGTGGAGAGAGTGAGAGATAAGCAGGGGAACGATGAGCATGTGCATGGCACTAGGGGTGTGTGAACACGTGTGCTCGCAGTGCTTCCAGCGGGGGAAGTGATATCAGCGCCAGAGCCCCGACACATTCACTCAGAGCTGCTGCACGGGTCCCGTCCCGATGGCGCGGTGGGCGGGTAGATGATATCGCTCCTGCAGCTGCTTGGCAGCAGTGGCAAACTCATCGTCGGTGCAGCCTCTGCATGCATGCACTCACCCACCCACCTTCCCTTTCTCCTGGCCAGCCCAGCACAGCAGCGCACCAGCAGCACCCACCCAATCCAGTCATGTAGCATGCTGCCCACCTTGTCTTTCCGAGCCTGGTACAGCAGCTCGGCGTAATGGTCCAGGTTCGGGGCAGAGGGCGGGTAGATGATATCGGCGCCCGACACGTCCACGCGCAGCTGCTTGGCGGCGGTGATGATCTCGTCGGGGTTTCCTATGAGCGTCACGCGGCACAGCGACCGCCGCAGCACCTCCCCTGCTGCCTGAATTGTCCGGGGCTCAGCTCCCTATGGTTGGCAGGGGAGGAGGCAGGAGAGAAGGGGGGGGAGGAGGGAGGGAGGGGCAGGGGTTTGGGGGGCTGTTCTCTGTTAGGGTGTGCAGGTAGATAGGAGAGGCGCAGGTGAAAGGGGCAGGCACGCGCAGCTGCTTGGTGATCATCTTGTCGGGGTTGCTTCTGAGCGTCACACGGCACAGCGACTGCCGCAGCACCTCCCCTGCCGCCTGGATGGTCCGCGGCTCCGCTCCCTGGGGGAGGGGGGGGAAGAGGGGGAAGGGGGGGGGCGGGAGAAGTGGGGGGGAGGGGGAGGGAGGGGGGGGGGTGGTGGAATGAGATGATCAGATCCAGAGGAGGAGGTGTCATATAGGGGAGGAGAAATCATGGAGGATCTGCTTGAGTTTCTGCTTCTTGTTGGGGTGCGAGTGTGAATCTGAAAAGAAATCACGGAGGAGGGAGAAGGCTGGATGACGGAAGGGGCAGATCAAAAGGGGGAAGCGGGAAGGGCGGGTTGAAGAAGTGGGAAGCCAGGAAGGAGCGGCGTAAGGAGGAGGAGGGACCGGGAAGCGAGAAAGTGGACGTGAAGGGGGGGTCGAAGGCAGTGGTGGAATGGGAATGCTGGCAGCTTTACCTCTGGGCAGCACTTGTGCGCGTGAACCCACCTCTGGCAGCACGATGTGCGACTGCGCCTCCCTGGACTTGTCGAAGATGCTGTGCTGGAAGAGCTTGGGGTTCATGCGCATGGGGCGCTCCTTGAACAGCACCTGGTGCAGCATGCGCATGTCCACGTTCTCGTGGAAGATCACCTGCAGGGGGGGTGCAGAGGGGTGGTAACGTGGTGCGGCCGTGTGTAAGTTGAGGTGCAGTATGCGCATGTCCACGTTCTCGTGGAAGATCATCTGCAGGGGGGGGTGCAGAGGGGTGGTAACATGGTGCGGTCGTGCGTAAAGTTGAGGTGCAGCATGCGCATGGCACGTTCTCGTGGAATATCAGCTGTGCAGCGGGGGGGGGGGGGGGCTGAGGAGAGGTTGTAGTGGTGTGTTGGCGTTAGACATGGGCAACATGCCGAGTCAGGCTCGGCTCGACCCGGCTCGACTCGCCTTTTTGGCAAGTCGAGCCGGGTTTTTTTTTTGGTCGGCTCGCCCCAAGTCGAGCCGAGTCGAGTCGGTCGAGCCGCAAGTTTTTGATCGAGTCAAATTCGAGCTGGCTCGTTTCGGCTCGACCGCCGAGTCGCGCGGCTTGCCCGCGGGGGTCATAATTTGAACCCCCTGGAATCGAATCCCATTTCTGGTTTTCGATTTCCAGCAACCTTAAGATCTCCCCACACCTGCCACGCCATCCTAGCATGCCTACGCTCCACTAATGTCACTCCTTAAGTTCAGTCATGCATTTTTTAGTGCGTTTTAGGTTATTAGGTCTCTGGGAAACTCGTTTTTGGGGAACACCAGCAGGCCATTAGGGGTCCCAAGATCCACCAAAACGGGCGACTTAGAAGCCTTGTTAGAATCTGCATGAGAAACCCTCCTAGGCGAGTCGAGCCGAGCCGAGCCAAAGTCGAGCCGGCCCTTGGCTCGAACCTAAAACCCCGAGTCGAGCCAGACATTTCGGGCAGCCGGCTCGGGGCGAGTCGAGCCGGCTCGGCTCGACTTTTACCTGGCTTGTGGTCGAGTCGAGCCGAGTCGAGCCAGGCTCGGCATGCTGCCCATGTTTATCTAGTTGGCGTGTAAAGTGGTGAGATGGGAAAGAGAGTATGATGAGGTGCAGCATGCACATGTCCATGATCTCGTGGAATTTCATGTGGGAGAGGGGGCATATAGGGGTGAGAAGCAGAACAGCACATGGAGCGACTTCATCTCTAGCCAGTGCGTTGCACAGCCCATGCACCCCGGCACCACAGCCCACACAACCCTAGCCGTCACCTCAGCGCGCTCTATCTTGCGGTTGGACGTGGCATGCAGCTCGGGCTGGGCGTCGGTGAGTGATGTGTGGTGAGTGGCCTGGAACTCACCTCACCCCATCGGGTACTCGCCTCACCCCGCCAGCGCTCACCTCAGCACGCTCTATCTTGCGGCTGGACGTGGCGTGCAGCTCGGACTGGGGACGTCGGTGAGTGATGTGTGGTGAGTGGCCTGGAACTCACATCAACCCATCGGGTACTCGCCTCACCCCGCCAGCGCTCACCTCAGCGCGCTCTATCTTGCGGTTGGACGTGGCGTGCAGCTCAGGCTGGGCGTTGGTGAGCGCGATGCATGTGCCGTGGGTGTCCTTGGGGGAGAGCAGCACCGGCAGGGACACGCGCGTGGGGCGGCTCTGGGAAGAGAAGGAGAGGTAGGGAGGGAGAGAGGGAGGGAGTTGAGAGGTTAGAAGCGTTGGTGAGTGGGCGCAATGCATGTGCCATGAGTGTCCTTGGGGTCGAGCAGCACAGGCAGGAACATGTGTGTGGGGCGGCTCTGGAAGCATTAAGGGAGGGAGGGAGCTGAGGTAAGAGGTGGTGTTGGTGAGAGGTGGTGTTGGTGAGAGGTGGTGTTGGTGAGAGGTGGTGTTGGTGAGAGGTGGTGTTGGTGAGAGGTGGTGTTGGTGAGAGGTGGTGTTGGTGAGAGGTGGTGTTGGTGAGAGGTGGTGTTGGTGAGAGGTGGTGATGGTGAGAGGTGGTGTTGGTGAGAGGTGGTGTTGGTGAGAGGTGGTGTTGGTGAGAGGTGGTGTTGGTGAGAGGTGGTGTTGGTGAGAGGTGGTGTTGGTGAGAGGTGGTGATGGTGAGAGGTGGTGTTGGTGAGAGGTGGTGTTGGTGAGAGGTGGTGTTGGTGAGAGGTGGTGTTAGTGAGAGGTGGTGTTGGTGAGAGGTGGTGTTGGTGAGAGGTGGTGATGGTGAGAGGTGGTGTTGGTGAGAGGTGGTGTTGGTGAGAGGTGGTGTTGGTGAGAGGTGGTGTTGGTGAGAGGTGGTGTTGGTGAGAGGTGGTGTTGGTGAGAGGTGGTGATGGTGAGAGGTGGTGTTGGTGAGAGGTGGTGTTGGTGAGAGGTGGTGTTGGTGAGAGGTGGTGTTGGTGAGAGGTGGTGTTGGTGAGAGGTGGTGTTGGTGAGAGGTGGTGTTGGTGAGAGGTGGTGTTGGTGAGAGGTGGTGTTGGTGAGAGGTGGTGTTGGTGAGAGGTGGTGTTGGTGAGAGGTGGTGTTGGTGAGAGGTGGTGTTGGTGAGAGGTGGTGTTGGTGAGAGGTGGTGTTGGTGAGAGGCGGTGTTGGTGAGAGGCGGTGTTGGTGAGAGGCGGTGTTGGTGAGAGGCGGTGTTGGTGAGAGGCGGTGTTGGTGAGAGGTGGTGTTGGTGAGAGGTGGTGTTGGTGAGAGGTGGTGTTGGTGAGAGGTGGTGTTGGTGAGAGGTGGTGTTGGTGAGAGGTGGTGTTGGTGAGAGGTGGTGTTGGTGAGAGGTGGTGTTGGTGAGAGGTGGTGTTGGTGAGAGGTGGTGTTGGTGAGAGGTGGTGTTGGTGAGAGGTGGTGTTGGTGAGAGGTGGTGTTGGTGAGAGTGGTGCACGAGCTGTCAGCGGCCTTGGGGAAGAGCAGCACCGGGAGTGGGACTCGTGTTGGTGGAGATAGGTTGAGAGGGCTCGGCAGAGCAATACACTGCTGTGAGTTGGAATGTGCAACTCTGGGCCACTGCCATAGCTTAGAAGCAAGCGCATTCACACACACCATGTCTTTTTGTCCGACAGTACAGCTCGCCCTTCTCTCCCCCCCCCTCCCCTCTTCCTCCTTCCCTCTCCTCTTGCTCCTACATGCATACGGACACACCTAGACAAGCCCGCCCTCACATGCGCATACATGGACACAGACTCCCCCACCCTCCTTACAGCATGCCTACCCGGATGAGCATGTCGACTTCAAGAGGCGGAGGCGACCCCCCAGTGAGCACCATGGCAGCCACCTGAGGGGGGCAGGGGAGAGATGGCGGGGAGAAGCACAGGAACGAAGTGGTGACAATGCACCTGCACTCAGCACGCCCGCCTGCCTGCACACAGCACGCCCGCCTGCCTGCACACAGCACGCCCGCCTGCCTGCACACAGCACGCCCGCCTGCCTGCACACAGCACGCCTGCCTGCCTGCAGGAGGACCTGAAAGCCCACGTCTCCATTCCATGAGCCCCGTGTCTACGTTCCTCGCCTCTCCCTCCTGTCTCTCTCTGCTCCACACGCCTACACGCCTCCACGCCCACCCACCCACATACGCACCTGCGTGCTGAGGTGCGTCTCGTGCAGGTCAATCATCCCCAGGAGAATATCCGGGCGGCTGGCATGCGCCACCACGAGCACGCCCTTGGCCGGGTCGTCGGAGGGAGGGATGTAGGAGAGCAGATCGGCCAGGTGGAGGGTTGCTATCAGGGTGCGGGTGACCTCAGTGGTCATGTTGTTGCTGTGGGGCAAATCACCGTACAGCACATGGGCGTTGAGCACTCGAGCCACGTCCTCAACCTGATGGCACAAGGGAGGGAGACACAGGCGGGAGGAGGAAGACCTCAGTGGTCATGTTGTTGCGGTGGGGCACATCACCATACAGCACGTGGGCATTGAGCACCTGAGCCACCACCTCAACCTGATTGCACGAGGGTGCAGTGCAGGGTCACCCTGTTACCAGGTTGTTGCTGTGCAGCACTCCAATGTAAAGGAGATGCGGGCTCAATGCTCGCACTACGCCCTCAACCTAAAGGACATGCCTTCTGCACATGCCCACCTGGAACGAATCCAGACAAATGTCCCCCCCAATCGTCCTACCTGGAACGCCTCCAGAGAAATGTCTTCTGGCACAACCCCACGAAGGGGATCTGCGCTTTCGTGATGTTCTCTCTGAGCCTCAATGTGCCTCTGAACGACTTGGGAAGCGGTAGATGAGCGCCCCTGCCAAACCCACCCCTCAAAGCGTTCCCCACAATCGTCCTACCTGGAACGACTCCAGAGAAATGTCTTCTGGAACAGCCCCCACGAACGGGATCTGCGCTTTTGTGATGTACTCTCTGAGCCTTGACGCGCCTCTGGACGTCTTGGGCATGCGGTAGATGAGCGCCCCTGCTACATCGACGTTGGACTGCCGCATGATGCGCGCATGGTCCAGTATGCACCCCGCGGCTTCCTTCTCCCAGTCCCAGTCCTCAAACACGCCCCCCGACTGCAACGAGACGAGCAGAAAGCGTGGAAGTAGGAGATTGGGTGAAGGGGGGTGTGGGGTAGAGGGGGCAGGGGAGGGAATGGATGATCTTTTAGTTAACTCAGAAATCATTTCTGACGGAAAGAGGGGGCAGGGGAAGGAGTAGATGAGGGCGCCGGGTCATATCCACGTTGAACTGCCGCATGATGCGCTCATGGTCCAGTGTGCTGTGCTCCCTGCCGCCTCCCTCTCTCCCAGTCCCAGTCCTCAAACACGCTGCCTGGATGGAACAGGGCGAGCAGGAGATTTGCGGAAAGGGGAACGGGGCAGGCCGGGGGCTTCGAGTGCAGAGGAGGCAGTGCATCTGGGATGAATACCTTTCAGAACAACCACAGGCTAAAAGGCGTGCCTCAGTGTGTTTGGGGTGGAACTGCGAGGCAGCACGGCCGTTAGAGAACAGCAGCGCGGGGGCTTCGTGGGCAGAGGCGATGAAACTGGGATGAATACTTACAGGTCGGCTTTGCGCGGGGGATTTGCCGAGTCCCAAAAACAACCACAGGCTGGTAGGCTTACCTCGGTGTGTTTGGGTTGGAACTGCGCTGCGAGGCGGCGTGGCTGTTAGAGAGCAGCAGCGTGGGGGCTTCAAGGGCAGAGGCGATGAAACTGGGATGAATACTTACAGGTCGGCTTTGAGGATTGCTTTGAGGATTCCCCAAAACAACCACGGGCTGCGGGCGTACCTTGGTGTGTTTGGGGTGGAACTGCGAGGCGCGCAGCCGTCGGAGAGCAGCAGCGCAGGGGCTTCAAGGGCAGAGCCAGTGAGACACGGATGGATACCATTTATAGCAAGTACAGGCTAGGCCATGGGATGTATACCTCGGTATGCTTCGGGTGGAACTGCGAGGCGGCGCGGCCATCGGAGAGCAGCAGCGCGGGGGCTTCGAGGGCAGAGGCGATGAGGCCGTTGAGGGGCGAGGTGTTGGTGCCGTCGCGCATGGACGTGCCCTCGATCACCACGAAGTCGTGGTGCCGCTTGCACCGCTCGTAGGCTGATAGGCATGGGCAGGGGTAGAGAGGATGCACAGTTGGAGAAGGGGTGTGGGGAAAGTCGCAAGATAGAGAGACAGTTGAGGGGCGAGGTGTTGGTGCCGTGGCGCGTGGACGTGCCCTTGATCACCACGAACGAAGTCATGGTGCTGCTAGCACCGCTCGTACGCTGATGGGCACAGGCGGGGGGATGCACAGGAAAGCAAAGTTAGGGAACAGTGATGGGAAAGGTCGAGCGGAGATGAGTCAGTAGATGTGTTCTCGATCACCATGAAGCCGTGGTGCCGCTTGCAAGTTGCACCGCTCGTACGCTGATGGGCGGAAGCAGGGGGATGACACGAACGAGAAAGCACAGCTAGGGAACAGTAACGGGAAAGGTCGAGGAGGGATGAGTTAGTAGACGTGTTCTCAATCACCACGAAGTGGTGGTGCCGCTTGCACCGCTCGTACGTTGATGGGTTAAGGCGGGGGGAATGCAGGAACGGGCGTTGAGAGAACAATAAGCTTCAAAGGCTTATATAATTAGCATAACGGAAGGACGCTAAGGTAGGGAGGAGCGAGAGGGGAAGGGATTGTCGTGTAGAGGGAAGCAAGTCGAAGTGGAGCGATCATGCAGAACGAAAAGGAAACTGAAACACGCTCAGGGCTGGAATAGGAGAAAATCACGGCGCCAACATGCTGAAATGACCTGAGCCATGCCAATGAAGGTGCCATGCCATCCAAGGTGCCATGCCATCCAAGGTGCCATGCCATCCAAGGTGCCGTGCCATCCAAGGTGCCGTGCCATCGAAGGTGCCATGCCATCGAAGGTGCCGTGCCATCCAAGGTGCCATGCCATCCAAGGTGCCATGCCATCCAAGGTGCCATGCCATCCAAGGTGCCGTGCCATCGAAGGTGCCATGCCATCGAAGGTGCCGTGCCATCGAAGGTGCCATGCCATCGAAGGTGCCGTGCCATCCAAGGTGCCATGCCATCCAAGGTGCCATGCCATCCAAGGTGCCATGCCATCCAAGGTGCCATGCCATCCAAGGTGCCATGCCATCCAAGGTGCCATGCCATCCAAGGTTTTGAGGGGTACTGACCTGAAATGATGGTTTCCAGCAGCTCGTCCATCTTCTCTGACGTCAGCAGGCCGTACGCCTGGTCCTGGGTGAGCCCGAACATGTCCTCCTGAGGCGTGCGCATGCGAAATATCTCGTGAAACAGCTCCGCTCGGTTGCCACCATGCGAAGTCTGGTCGATCGGGCGAAAGTAACCCACGCCTGGCCGCAGAACCTGGCAATTCGGGTGGGGTGGGGGAGGGGGGGCGGGGGGATCCGCGGGAATCATCCATCCAAGGGGGGATCACGGTCAGTGTTCGCACGCCATCAGTTATGTAACCATAAAGAGGCGTTAACGACGAACACCCAGAGAGTCTTTGGACAACACCCAGATCGGCGTTGCGTCTTAAAGCGTATGTTCCTCGAGCACCGTACTAAGAATGTTTTCTCTGCAGACACGAAAGTCGCTCGATTATCCGCGTTTTGTTGGGCTGTCGACTAAGACTTTCCGCCCTTCATTTCTGCCTGCAGGCTGGGAAGACGTGAGCTTTACCTGTAGCGCGTGAATGAGTCCGATGCTGAGAGCGGCGGAGTTAAGAGGCGCGCCGACACTGCAGGGAGCGAAGAGGAGGGGAGAAAAAAGACGCGTATTTTTCGGTGTGCGACAACCAGCTCTGACAGAAGGAACGTATGCGAACGATGCGACGGTGCTAGGCGACGGTCGCAGAAAACGACAATAGTCTGGCGACACGGTAACTTTCCTGATGAAGGACGAATGCGACGCGGCTAACGTACTCGGCGTGGTGCAGATAAATCGAACCGTCGAATTGATGCGGCTGCTTGGAATGCGACGCTCCCACATTGCCAGGCATGCTGATCCTGCTCGAGCCGCTGATCGATCTGCTCTGCTGATGATCCGACGAACCTGCTGTGGCCTTCGCTCCTTGACCTCCTCTCTCTTCTCTACCATCTCTGCCGGCGAAGCTGCTCAGTGCTCTTCTTTGAGCAGCGGAAACAGCTGGTATTCCTTCCTTTGCATTTGATCCGTGAAACCGATTCACAGACTGCGTTTCCGACGAACCCACTGACTGGGTGGCTTCAGGGAACACCCGCGATTGCGATTGATACTTCCGGCAAATATCAATCCATCGGCCTCGCGCGGCGCTCCCTGAGGAGGAGTAGTTTATGCTTCCGCCGGAGTGGCTGCGGGTTTGGCAGCTACGCGCTCTGCTAGCTTGCTGCACCACCCGCTTCCCTAGCAATCTGAGCATGGCTCCCGCGATGTATCAAAACTGCCAGCAATGCCTGAAGAGCTCGGAGGTCAAGAGTTGGCACTCAAGAACGAGCCAACACGATGCGCTCGAAGGCTAAATTTGCGTCTCTGCCAGAGTCAGAGAACGGAGCAGAGCAGCAAGAGCAACCCTTGGGAGTATCAACTGGAGCATCAAGCCTTGGGAGCATCAAACTTGGGGTCAATGGAGCTCCGAGGATGACCACCATCAGAGCAGCTGGAGTTCCCTAGGGCGTGCTGGTACTGGTGGTCTGTTGTTGCTCCTGGCCTCGAGCTGCCTTGGGTTTCCCTCCGAAGGTTTCAAGAACACTGGATCCGTTTCGAGGAACTCGACAATAATTATTGTGATCTGTAACCAGCTTTTGTAAAAGGACTTTTCCGGGACTACATACATATCTTGAACTTCTAGCACATTCACCATTCAATTGGTCAAATAGGCATCCTGGCATGCCCCTGATTGGGCAGTGGGCTGGTGGCTGTGTGACCTCGTTTTGCGAGATTCTTGGGGTTGGCGCGGAGAATCAGGGCACACGTCTGTCACGAGCCCAGCCACATCGGAAAATCAACGCCACGTCACGCCAGCATGGGCTGCATTGCATGAAGCATCTCTGAATTCCTTTCTTCCCTTCCCTGATTGCTTGCCTGTTGGTTTCACTGATCCTGAATCCTGAGCCAGGGAACATACATAACACACCAGACTGCTGCTTCTCAGTCAAGTAGTCAGGCAAAGTCAGCTGTTAATTTCCAGTGAGTTGGTGTCGCACCCGACCATCCGTGGCTTCTGGGTTTGTAGCCACGCTCGCTTTGGCTGCCACTCTAGCTCTCATCCAAGTCTCGCCAAGCTCCGCAAAGCAAGCAGGTTTCTCGTGAAGCCTAAGCATGGCGAAATCCAAGGCGATCCTCGTGCTGAACGCCGGGAGCTCGTCTCTCAAGTACGTCTCTCTCTTGTAATAGATATGAGCTGGTTGCTCCACGGAGCCGCATACCATTCTGGCAGAGCCGTTCCGCTTCATTGCTTCTACAATGAGAGAGCAATGCAGCTAACCCAGCATGATCACCTCGTTCGAGCCTTCTGTTAGAATGTTCGGAAACGTGTAGGCTCGTAGAGCCAGTCCAGCACAATGTCGGTTTCCCCCGTCCCCTCATTTTCCTCGTGCCTGAAGGTACTCGCTGTAGTTCGCTGATGCGGTCAAGGCGAAGCTAGCGGTGTCGGGCCTGGTGGAGCAGATCGGCACCCCCAAGGGCGAGTTCTGAGTCGACTTAGAACTCCCCCCTCCCCCCCCGCCCGTTTCCTTCTGCCCGCAGATACGCCCTGTACGAGTTCGCCGATGCGGTGAAGGCGAAGCTGGCGGTGTCGGGCCTGGTGGAGCAGATCGGCACTCCCAAGGGCGTCATCACGCACAAGGCGCTCGCGACCAACCAGACCGTCCACGAGGTCAGCCCCTTCCACCCCTTCTGATCGATCTCCTCGTTTCATGATGCCCAGTTCAGTGATCCCTCTCGTTGTCTCACTCGCTCGCTCTCTCACTCGCTCGCTCACTCACTCAATCATGACGCCGTTCTGCGTCTCCCAAACATCGCACTGTCCCGCTGTGTGTGTGTGACGTGCAGAAAGCGGTGTTCAGCGACCACAAGGAGGCCATGTCGCACGCGCTGAGCCTGATGGGCATCAGCAAGGGTAGCAGCGCGGTGACGGCAGTGGGGCACAGAGCGGTGCACGGCGGTGAGGAGATCAACCGCTCGTGCATCATCACGGAGCACGTGAAGGACGTGCTCAAGAAGTTCACGCCGCTCGCGCCACTGCACAACCCGCCTAACCTCCAGGTAACGCACTGAACCGTTGTGAAACACACTGATTCGCTGCATTATTTTCACGCGCGGACATGCAAGTTCTCGGGCAGGAAGTGGTAGGCCCATTGTGAAGGTGCAGAGACGAAGCTACTCGGGCAGGAAAGTACTCGCTCACACCACCCTCACGCGTACTCCTTCCTTCCCCCCCATCCCCCCCCCGCGTCCCTCCTGTCCCCCGCTGCCACACACTCGCGTGCACACACACAGTACACTTTGTGTGCCATCCCTTGGCGTTGCCCCTCCACCCGCATGGGCATGCCCGTTCAGTGGTGCACTATATGTAACCTCTCCACACGTCATTCCGCATCTCGTCCTGACGTAGCTTCACCTTCACTCTTTCTTCCCCCTCCCAACCTCCTGACATCTGTCCACGGCATGGTGGTGGCGCAACAGCTGCTGGGATTGTCTCCAGTCGACGCTCTGTACGTACCTCCTTCCCACTGTTCCTTCCCCTATCCCCTGTCCATACCTACCTCCCCAACCCCCTCCCGTCCATCCAGGGCATGGAGGTGGCGCAGGAGCTGCTGGACTGCCCGCAGGTGGCGGTGTTCGACACGGCGTTCCACAGCACCATCCCCCCCCACGCGTACACCTACGCCCTGCCGTACCGGCTGTACAAGGAGCTGGGCATCCGGCGCTATGGCTTCCACGGCACCAGCTACATGTACCTGCTCAGGGAGACGGCCCGGCAGCTGGGGAAGAAGGAGAGCGAGGTCAACATGATCACGCTGCACCTGGGGGCCGGAGCCAGCATGGCGTGCATCAAGGAGGTGAGAAGAAGGGGGTTCAGCAGTGCAGTGGGGGGAAAGCGAGTCTGGTGGGGGTATGATCTTCCTGCCTGCATCCATTTCAATGCGTGGCCTTGTTTCCCTAGAATGCCTGACGCACGGTTTTGACCCGCTCTTTTCCCTTCCTTTTCGTATGCAGGGGAAGTGCATTGACACCACCATGGGAGTGACCCCCCTGGAAGGCCTTGTGATGGCCACTCGGTGCGGCGACATCGACCCAGCCATCCCCAAGATCCTCTCGGATCTGCAGGGCCTCTCCCCCCCTCAAATCGACTCCCTCCTCAACAAGGAGTCTGGCCTGGTTGGAATCTGCGGGGACAAGGACATGAAGGCGGTAGTGGACCGCACTGAGGCTGCTGAAGCTACATGCATACCGGCAGGGGATGATCTGGAAGGGGGCGGCCGGCACCGGCTTGCTCTGGAGGTGTTTGTTCACCGCGTGAGGAAGTACCTGGGGGCGTATCTGGTGCAGCTGGGAGGGAAGGTGGATGCGATTGTGTTCAGTGCGGGGATTGGGGAGCGATCGGCGCCAGTACGGGCCCGAGTTTGTGCAGGAATGGAGGCGTTTGGGATTGAGGTGGATAAGGCGAGGAATGAGGAGGGGAAGGGTGCTCGGGAGATTTCAGTGGCTGGGTCGAAGATCAAGGTGATGGTTGTGCCGACTGATGAGGAGCTCTGCATTGCGCAGGAGACTCTGCGTGTGGTTAACGAAGCTCGGAAGGAAGAGTAGGTATATGGTCATTAACGAATAAACACTTGGAATTCTTTCCTTGACATGCGAGCTTAGTAAGGTTATTGATACACGCCTTCAACATTGAAGTGTATACCTGGAAGAGAACGTTAGTATTTAACAGTTCGAGTATATGTTGTCAAATAAGTGAAACTACCACATACCTTGTAAGGAATTTTCCATTCCTTACCGAGCGGTACTGCTAGCGCGTACGCTCGAACACACCTGAAGCCTCGGGACTGTTCCAGACCTTCTGACAGAACCGCCTCGGTTTTTCCAGACTTTCCGGTTCGACCTTCGAGAGTTCTCCAGGCCTCGCTTCGTCACTTCGAGACCCTTCGATCTCCTTCCCGAACCTTCCCATCGCATGGTTAGACTAGCTCTGGTGTTCCTATATCTTGGCTTGCCATTCCTTGTATCGTCATTCATTTGAGTGAACACTTCGTTATTCATTTCCACGCTACTCTGCTTGTTCATTCATAACACCTGGTAATCAGTATCAAACAGTGAAATTGATAAGTAGAGAGAGAGAGAGTACACAAACATATACCGTATTCCCCCGGATATACGCCCCTAGGTGCTTATAGGGATTATAGTCAAAATTTTGGGGGTGCGTTTAATTGGATTTTTTTGATATGGCACGGTGCGTTAAAAACGTTCTTAAGGAAACTTTTGAAACGAACATGAACATGTAGCTAGAACAATTTGCAATCGAATGGAATGCTCCCAAACGGGAACAACCAGAGAAGTCCCGCCAAAATCGCTTCCTAGACGACTGACGCGTCAGCCAAGCAGCACGTTCGCTGCAGTTTGCCAGCGTGCAGGCTAGCGTGGGCGATCCTGGCCATCCGTTCTCTCATCTGACATGGCAGCAGAGCTTTGCTGACCATACCTTCGATGAGTCGGAAGGTCAGGGGTCGATTTTGTGTGATGAAGTGATTCCTCACGTAAACTTGATGCGAAATGTACAGTCAACATAGTCAGTGCGAGATTCCGACGGGGAAAAGGGGGGTGCGTATAGGGATTAGAATCTGGAAAATGGGGGGGTGCGTATCATTGGCACATCCGATATGGCACCCCTCCGGATATACGCACCATGGTGCGTTTTAGCTGGCGGTGCGTATATCCGGGGGAATACGGTACCTAACAGTTGTACTCTCTAGAAGATGACCCTATACAGTCTATACAAGCATGATAACTAAACATGTTTGACACACCCCCTGGACTGCATAGGGGAATGTTCTAGACAAGCAGCTCAAGGTGGCACTACTAGTCCAGCCTCTGAGACAAGGGTCTAAAAGACCAGTCAGAAGGAGTACAGGCAAGGCAAGAACAAGTACCTACAGGGCGGCACTACTAGTCCAACCACTGTAAGAGGACACAAGTCCAGTCTGAGTGTACACACAGATATATAGGACAGTACAAAGTCAAGGCCCGAGTAAGTGAGAGACTACAGGAACCAGACCAAGCTGTACACAGTGCCGCTGATGATCTTTAGGCGCAAGCGCCTTCGTAAAGATATCAGCTGTGTTGGCACCGGAGGCTAAGTGTACTACGCGAGCCTGGCGACGCTGCTGTAGCTCACGCAGGAGGAAGTACCGCAGCTGGATGTGCTTCGCTCTGCCCTCGAGTCGAGGCTCCTGACACAGGAGGATCATGGCCCTGTTGTCAGCGTACAGGACCGGGGCAGAGCTAGGCCGCTCACCTAAGTCAGTGAGCAAGAAGGTCAGCCAGCGGAGCTCCTGTGCCGCCATGGCACCGGCGTAGATCTCGGCCTCACAGCTGGACTGGGCAACAGACGAAGAGCGGGTAGCTCTCCACGAGACAGCACCTGAGCCAAGGCTAAAGCAGTAGCCCTGAGAAGACCTGAGCGTCTCGGCGTCGTCTGCCCAAGAAGCGTCTGTGTGTCCAGTAAGGACCACTGGCCTGCGTCCGCCTAGCACTAACCCCATGCCCGATGTACTTGCAAGATAACGCAAAACCCTCTTAGCGGCAGACCAGTGCTGAGGTCGGTGCCTGCCTGTGGCCACGAAACGAGCCAGGATGCTGAGAGGGTATGCGAGATCTGGGCGAGTGCAAGTCATCAGGTACATGAGGCAACCCACTAGCTCAGCGTAAGGACCACTGGGATCTACCGACTCCTCAGGAACTGGAGCGGAGAGTCTGTGGTCCAGAGGAAGAGGGGTGGGCTGTGCGGAGGAGAACTGAAGACCGAACCTCTGAAGGACCTGGCGCACCAAGTGTGACTGAGTCAGGGTGATGGTGCGCGCGGCTCTGTCCCTGGAGATCTGCAAGCCAAGGTAACGGCGCAGCTCTCCAAGGTCAGTGCAGGTGTGTCTCTTCAGCAGCTCTGCCTTCACGGAGGCCAGTGCGTCCCTGTCAGCAGTGGCAAAGACCAGGTCGTCCACGTAGACGAGGATGTAGAACGGAGTCGAGCCAACACGAACGAAGAGCGAGGGGTCTGCAGAGGACGGAAAGAACTGCAGGTCAGCAAGGGTAGCACGCAAAGTGTCGTGCCACTCACGAGGCGCCTGGCGCAGGCCGTAGACTGGCCGCCGCAGAAGCCACTGGGTCCCAGGGGGGAAGGTGCCAGTAAAGCCCTGAGGGCGACGCAGGTAGACCTGCTCGTGAAGGCTGCCCTGAAGAAAGGCAGTGGAGAAGTCGAGGGAGTGAAGCTCGTAGTCACGCTGAGCCGCTACGTGTAGCAGAACCCGAAGAGTAGTCATCTTCGGGGTAGGAGCGAAAGTCTGAAAGAAGTCCACCCCCTCGCGCTGACTGAAGCCTCTAGCCACGTAGCGCGCCTTGAACACAGGCGGCTCTCCGGGAGGGCGCTTCACCTTGAAGAGCCAACGGCCATCGACCACGTTCACCCCAGGTGGGGGAACTGCGTCGACGAAGGTGCCAGTGGATCTCCAAGATGCCATCTCCTGCTCCATGGCAGCTATCCACTGAGAGGCCTAGGGTCCCGAAACCGCCTCAGCGTAAGTACGAGGGGTCGGGATGTCGAAAGCGTCTGGGTCACCCTCAGGGACTAGCAGCATGGAACAGAGATGGGGAGCAGCCTCGGACAGGAAAGCAAGCTCAAACTGGCGGTCCTCCAGGACGTCACTGCCGAGGGCAGGAGCACCCCCGACAGACGGAGGACAGGCAGGGTCAGAGACCAGAGCGGTGGCGTAGTCAAGGCGGCGGGTAGAGGCGAAGTCAGCGACCGCAGCGACGAGGGCGTCGAGACTCGACACTGGAACAGACGGGTCGGTAACGAGAGAGGCAAGGACCCGAGGAACAAGAGGACGAGTGGCACGAAAGAAGTCGGACAGAGGAGGAGACGCAACGACAAGAGAGGACGGAGGAGGAGACGGGAGGAGGGGAGGACGAGACGCGTGGGAACGGAGCAACATAGGGTGAGAGCGCGGGACAGGGGAGACAGGACGAGCACGAGAGGGGCGGCGAGACCAGACGTGTGAGGGCGGCGTCGGGTCAGGAGACAGAGGAGGGGACACAGGAGGGGAACGAGGGGGAAGACGAGCCGGGGACGAGTCTGGCAGAGGGAACACGGGGCCGTAGACGGGAAGAGGGGGAGACGGCAGGAGAGGAACAGGCGCAGGGTCAGGAGACGGAAGGCCGAGCAGACGGAGGGCGGACACAGGCGGGGACTGCTGCTGCGGCGACACAACACCAACACCAGGGCCACAAGCTGCGCGACGGCTACCTCCCGAACCCTCCACACCTGCACCCCCAGAAGGGACACCCCCAGAGCCCGAAACCCCCGCCAGCACCGGTACCACCCCCAGGTCCGCCGGGACAAGCCACGACAGGAGCCCCGGGACTAGTACCCACCTCAACGCCAGCACCCCCAGAGTCCACAAACGGCGGCAGCGACGACAGCGGCGGCGGCGGCGGCGGCTGCAGCGACGGCTGCGACGGCGGCGGCGGCGGAGACGACGGCTGCAACGGCGGCGGCGGTGGAGACGACGGCTGCAGCAGCTGCGGCGACGGCGGCTGCGGAGGCGGTGGAGGAGGAGACACCGGGGGAGGGACAGACGGCGAGGACTGCGCCGGAGGACTACCAGAGTCAGAAGACTCGTCGACCGGGACGACCGACGGGAGGGGGGTGACGTGAGACACACCAGAGGGGGCCGGACGGGGGGGCGGGGGGGGGGGAGGGGCAGGGACCACCAGGGAGGGAGGAACCAGGAACAGGGGGGGAGTAACCGGGGGACCACGGTGGGGAAAGCGGCGGTAGAAGGAGACGGACTCGTCAAAGGTGACGTCGCGAGAGTGAAAGAAGCGGTGAGACGGCGGGTGGTAGAAGTGCCAGTCGGACGCGTCAAGGGGGAAACCGAGGAAGACGCAGGGGAGGGTGCGGGCAGTGAGCTTGTCCGTGCCAGAGGCACGAACGTGAGCAAGGCAGCCCCAGACGTGGAACGCAGACGCGTCACCAGGGGACCCGGTCCACAGAAGGGTCGGCGAAACCTGCGGCCGCTGGGGGTGCGGCCACAGGTTAAGCTGGTGAGCGGTGTAGCGCACGGCGAACGGCCACAGAAAATGGGGTGCACCGGCGTGGATCATGGAGGTGCGAGCCACCTCCATGACCAAACCGATGCGTCGCTCAGCGACCCCATTCTGCTGCGGGGAGTCCGGCAGGGTAAACGTCTGGGTGATGCCCTCCGCACGACAGAAGCGACCAAGGACACCTGAGGCAAACTCGCCACCCCGGTCGGAGTGGAGGCGCAAGGCAGGGAGACCGCGGTGGACACGAGCAGAGACAAGCCAGGGGATGAGAACGTCAGGCACGTCGGCCTTCCGCTCCAGGGGGAAGACGATGGTGTAGCGCGTGAAGTCGTCGACAAGCACTAGGAAGAAGCGCTCGCGACGCGGCCCATGGACCGGGGCTGGGCCCCAGACGTCCATGTGCAGAGTCTGCAGTGGTGCGGTGGTAGGGGGAAAAGAGGAGGAGTGAGGGGCACGGCGGAGCCGGCCCTCGACACAAGGCGTGCACGGTGGGGCGGGGGAGGAGGGAAACTCGGGGAACGAACCGGGGAGACCAAGAACGAGACCGTGCTGGGACATGTGACGCAGACGTGGGAGTGCAGGGTGACCAAGGCGGTGGTGCCAAAGGAGAGTCGGGTGAGTGAGGGACCGACAGGAGCACGCGGCAGCAACCTGGGTGGACGCAGCTACCAGGGGGGGAGACCCAGCCGGGGACGTCGCGGTGTCAAGTGTGAACAGGCCGGACACCGGGTCCCGGGGGAAAGTGGTAAGGGGGGCACCAGTGGCGGCCTCGGTACAGACAGCATACCGCTCGTGACCAGTGAACGTAGTGGTGACGCCAAGGTCCTGGAGGCAGCCGACACCAACTAGGTTCCTGGAGAACGAGGGGATATGCAGACCGGTGAGCGAACCTGAAGGAACCGCCGGACAGGGAAGGGAGGTGGAACTACGGGCAACGACGGGACCACCGGAGGGGTCAGCAAGAGTAACGGCAGCGGGAACAGGCAGCATCGTCAGCGTCGTGGAGTCGCGGAAGAAACACCGGGAGGCGCCAGAGTCCAAGGTGAAGGAAAGCGCAGCAGTCGCGTGAGGCGGCAGTGAAGCAGTGGAAGCGCCAAGGCTAAGCAAAGCAGGAGATCCTACGCCTG